TGCTGAGTGTCTGTGTGCCCAGATCCAGCAGGGTGGAGAGACTGGGGGGTGGCAGTGACCCGTCAGGCCGGTGCTCTCTCACGTTCTCTTTCTCTGCTGAGTGCACGAAAGGCATCCCAGCTGACTCATGGCACTGGGTAAAGTTTGTTTTTTAAAGGATTTTGCTATAGGACGTGTGTGCTCCCCAGAGGGGTACAGGACGGAAAATGAGAACCCCCCTGGGGGTGGCCACGCTGCAGTCCCTTCTCCTTCATTCTCCTGGGTTTTTGGGCATGCACACACCTGCCAGTGTGATTTTCGAGCCACCGGGTCTGGGACTCGAACTGCAGTTGGCCACATGGTGCTGTGGACACTACACTGCTGACCGGCCCCTGGATGAGGGCTTTTAAAACACTGCAGGACGGGACCAGCAGTTAGCGTAATGGCTATGTCGCTGGACTCCTACGTAGTCGACTGCGGTTTGCGTCCCAGACCCGGTGGCTTAAAACTCACGCCGGGTGCATGTGCGTGCGTGCCCAAGATCCTGAGAGGAGAATGGAGGAGAAGGGATTGCGGCGTGACCATCCCCCCTGGGGGGTGATTTCTCGCTTTCTGTCTCCATGTCTCTCTCTGTCTGGCGAGCGCACGCGCCCTACACTGAAAATCTCTCAAAAAAAAAAAAAAAAAAAACACTGCAGGACATTTTCGGGCTGAAATTATGAGAATCTAGTAAAAGCAGAAACTGTACGGGACGGAAGCCCCTATAGTCCTGAGCAGCAGAAGAGGGTTAGGGAAGGTGAAGAGCCGCAGACCGCGTGCCTGACGGGTCGGAGCTTGCGATGTGTTTGCTGAATGAGTAGGTCCAGCAGCTCTGGGGTTCTCTGACTTCATTTTCGACTGACACTTTTCTTTTTCCAGGTATTTCTTCTTGCAGGTAGAAAGCGAAAAAAGAGCAAAACATCCAATTACCTGATCTCCACCGACCCGACAGATCTGTCTCGTGAAGGGGAGAGTTACGTTGGCAAAGTCAGGTGAGGGCCGCCTTGACCACTGTCTGGTCCTTCTGATAGGTTTATTCCTATAGTTCAGAACAATTCATCTTTTTTTTTTAATTAATTTATTTATTTTTGGTAGAGGTTTTTTTTCACCCCCCGGGGGGATGGCCACACTGCAATCCCTTCTCCTCCATTCTCCTCTTGGGATCTTGGGCATGCATGCACACGCACACAGTGTGAGTTTAAGCCACCAGGTCCGGTGTTTAAACCGCTGTCAACTACATGGGAGTTCAGCGACATAGCCATTATGCTAACTGCTGGTCCCATATCTTTTTTTTTAATTGAAAAACAATTTATGATCTGCATTTATTGCTGTTGTAATCTCTTTCTTTCTTTCTTTTTCTTGTAGAAAGGTTTTTTCTACACGGCATGTGCGCTCACCGGAGAGACAGATAGAAGCAAGAAATCACCCCCAGACAGGATGGGCACGCTGCAGTCCCTTTTCCTCCGTTCTCCTCTCGAGATCTTGGGCACACATGCACATATGCCCTGCATGAGTTTTAAGACGCCAGGTCCAGGACTCGAATTGTAGTCAACTACATGGGAGTCCAGCAACGTAACCATTACAACATCTGCTGGTCCCCTGTTGCTGTCATCTTAAAAAAAAAAAGTTAGGGCCAACTAGTGGCATGGTGGTGTTAGGCAGCTGGATCGCACATGACTGTGGCGGTCCAAGTCCCAGACATAGCAGCTCGAGGATCATGCTGGGCACGTTTGCATGTGTGCCCAGCACCCCAAGGGGAGGATGGAGGAGAAGGGATTCTGACGTGGCCGTCTCCTGGGGGATGAATTCTCTCTCTCTCTCTCTCCCTCTCTCTCTCTCGTAAGCACATGCTATAAGCCTATAGCAAATCAAAAACAACAACAACGAAGTTAGGACCAGCTCTGTGGCCCGAAGGGTAGGACAGCCAGATCCCACATGACTGACCGCACGGTTTGAATCCCGGCCAGCCAGAGGGATGTGTATGTGTACAGGCCCTAAAAGGAGGAGGAGATGGGGGGACGAGACTGCAGTGTGCCCGTTTCCCACTGGCGGTTGCTTTCTCCCTCTTCCTCTCGGTCTCTCTGTTTCTTTCTCACTAATGAACACATGCCCTCTGACGAAATTAAAAAGAAAAAAGTTGGAAGAAACTCTTAAGTCTCTCCCTTGTTTTAATGAGACCTTTGAAAATGTGATTATTTAGAGAGCAGGTGGGTTTCCAGCCTATTACTTAGTTCTGTATTTTGTTTTGTTTCTTTGAGAGATTTCTTTTGGAGAGGTTTTTGCTATAGGGTGCATACACTCACCAGAAAGACAGAGAGAGATAGAGAGACAGAAAGTGAGAAATCACCCCCCCCATGGGGGATGGTCACGCTGCAATCCCTTCTCCGTTCTCCTCTCGGGATCTTGGGCATGCACGCACACACACCCGGCGTGAGTTTAAGGCGCCGGGTCTGGGACTTGCACCGTGGTTGACTACATAGGGGTCCAGCGATGTAGCCATACACCAACTGCTGTTCCTTTGGAGAGATTTTTGCTATAGGGTGCATACGCTCGCTGGAGAGACAGACAGACAGAAAGCGAGAAATCAACCTCCCGGTGGGGTGGCCATGCCACAGTAGCTTCTCCTCCATTCTCCTCTCAGTATTCTGGACATACACACGCACCGGGCGTGAGTTTTAAGCTGCCAGGTCCAGGACCCGAACTGTGGTCGTCTACGTGGGAGTCCAGTGCTGTTACATTCCACCATCTGTTGGTCCCAGCAGCCTATTACTTCTAGATTGTGTTGTATAAGAGAGAAAATAGAGCTCATCGCGGTGAGGGCTTGCTTTATTTTTCCAAAAATTATATATACATATATTTTTAATAATTATCTTATTTGACTTTATTTACTTTTTATATATGACCAGAGAGGGACAGAGTGAGAGAGAGGGAGAGTGAGAAAGCCAGCTGCCAGGTCTGGGACGCAAACCACGGTCGGGCATGTGGGAGCCCAGCGCCCTTCACCACGGCACCGCCAGCCTCTATACTATTATTTCTAAGTTGGCCATAGGGCACACGTGCTCGCCAGCGGGAGACGGAGAGAGGGAAAGTGAGAATGCAAGATCCCAGGTCCGGGACTCGAAACACAATCAGCCGTGTGGGAGTCCAGTGCCTCACCCCCCATGCCAGCTGCCGGCCCCTCACAGCCACTTATCATGATTCCAGATCCAACCTCATGGGGACCAAGTTCACGGTGTATGACCACGGCGTCAGCCCAGTCAAGGCCCAGGGCTTGGTGGAGAAGGCCCACACGCGGCGGGAGCTGGCTGCTGTCTGCTACGTAAGTGCCCTCGGGTGCTCCTTCCCTCGCGCAGCCTGGCGCAGCCCCGCTGAGCCAGAGCCGGCCCGCCCGGCCCGTTGCCAGGCCTGTGAGCCCCGATAGGTGCAGATGTCGTGTTCTCCGCGACACGGGTCTAGTTACTCACGAGCCGCCAGCTTCAGTTATTTTCACTTCATGTGTCTCCGGCCTCTTCCTGTTGCCACCTGATGGGGACTTCCTTACTCGTCCGATGGCAGAGGTGACAGTAAGCTATAACTGGGCTCTTTGCTGGGTTTCATTCTTTCCCCGCCTAGTTCAGTCTACACTGGCCAAATCTCCCTCAGGAGGGCTGCCTCTGATCTGGTCGTTTTTGTTTTATTTTGTTTTATTTTTAGTAGTTTTGCTATAGGGCTAGCCAGAGAAAAAGTGAGAGAGAGTGAGAAGTAACCCTGGGGGATGGCCACGCTGCGATCCCGTCTCCGCTCTCCTCCCGGGACGTGGGCATAGGCGCACGGGCGTCCGGCGTGATTTTCAGGCTGCTGGATCCAGGTCTCAGTGTGCCCCGTCAGCCATGGGGACCCAGTGCTTTAACGTCCACGGCAGCTGCTGCCCTTCTCTTCTAGTGGCCCCTCAGTGGGTGCAGAGCACAGCCCCACGACGTCAGCTCTCCCTTCAGACCCTTGGAGTGGTGAGTGGTGCTCCCAGCATCCTAGCCTCCCACCCTGCGGTGGCTCCTTGTCCGCCTGCAGGCACCTTTCCTCACCTGAGAGCCTTCCTGTCCCGCCTCCTTGCCTTCCTTTAATCAGCACCTACTGAGACATCAGGGAAGACCGCCTACCACTCCATGCAGTTGACATTCTTTTGTAGCTCTGTGCATTTAAAAACATTAATTTAATTTATTATTCTTTAATTTGCTATAGGGCACATGTGCTCACCAGAGAGAGACAAAGAGAAAAAGAGGGAAAGTGAGAAAGAAAGTTGCCAGGTCCAGGACTCAAACCGCGTCAGCCTTGGAATCCAGTGCCCCAGCCACCACGCCACCTGCTGCCCACTCTGTGGCATTTGTCCACGGCTCATACTGTTCGTACTCGCTCACCGAGCCTTCTGTCAGTTCCTGAGTGACGGTAAGCCGTAACTGACCTCTGCTGAGCTTATCAGCACGCGGGTAGAAAAGCTCTCGTGAAGTTACTCACTTTCGCCATGCCCACACAGCACGCAGCCTGACACACAGGAGGCGTGCAAAGATTCGTTGAGTAAAAGAGAACAAGAAGACCAGTGGTCACGTTGACCTTAATTCACAGCTTGCTTCAAATCGAAGTTAAAGGCACCATTTAGCTCCCTAAGAGATTGTATCTTTGCGAGCGAGAACCATCTGGTTCACACTTTGTGATGTTAAGTGTTCTGGAGCAGCAGGTGGCCCGGAGCTTAAGGCAGCTGAATCCCACACAGCCAGCTGAGCAGTTTCAGTCCAGGTCCTGGGGGTTGAAAAACACGCCAGGCGTGTGCGCGTGTGCCCCACATCCCAAGATGGAAATGGGCGAGAGGACTGCAGTGTTGCCGTTCCCCCGGGGGGTGCCTTCTCACTTCCCTCTCCCTTCTCACTCTTTATCCCCTCCATGGTGAGCGCACGTGCCCTAGGGTTTAAAAAAAAGAAAAGAAAGTTAATTGGTTGACCGATTGAGCTGTGCATGTATTTGCATAGATATGTTACATCTACCATATATGTGGTGTGTTAGAAATGCGCACATGTCTTTTGTAAGGTTATTTAGTTTAGCCATGAGTAAGAAGGAGAGGGAGCGAGTGCATCCCACAGGGCCCGATGCTGTGACCCACCCCAGCCATCAGCAAGGCCCTGGTCATGGGTGAGCGCATCCCTGGAACGGGGAGACCTTCAGAGTTGAACGGCAACCTTCCCATGTGGGATTGACGCACAGCATCGGGTCCCCCCACCGCACCATCTCCTGGTCCCAGCGCAGTTTGATGTAAACTAATTCTTATCACATAGTACCATGTCCCGGTCGGAGAGTGCGTATCGATGACGACCGGGTCAGGCTGCTTGTTCTCCTCGGCCGTGTTTCACGGGAGGCCGGAGAGTGCCGTGTCCAGCCGTAGAACCTGCTGCCGTCGGTGCCCAGGTTGAAGGGCCGCGTGGCTCAGCTGGGTTTGGCTCTGTCTAATTGCAGCGAAGTGATCGAGTCGTTCCCGATGCTCTTTACAGTCCAGCGTGTGCCGTGCCCGAGGAGTCTCGTTCCGAGCTGACTGTGGGTTTTCTTCCATTTCTGCCTCCCAGCTCTGCTCTGCTTTGCTATGTTCCAGGAGACAAACGTGCTTGGATTTAAAGGTCCCAGGAGAATGTCTGTGATCATCCCAGGGATGAATCTGAATCACGAGCGGATCCCATTCCGACCGCGGAACGTAAGTAAGGACCTACTTCATTGGCAAAGACCCTAAAGGCAGTAATACCGTACGGAAGAGTTGAGAGCAAACACACTGCTTTCCCGGGGCCCCAGACCGGAGAGCAGCTCAGTCAGACTCAGAGCAGGGCGGGTGGCGTCATTGCCGAGGTCCTCGCGTCCTCACTGTGAACCACTCTGCAAAGACAGATGCTGGGTAATGTGTAAGAATCAGAACACCCGGCTCCATTTTCGGCTCTAATTTTCGGCTTCTGTCTTACCCTGTCTGGAATGGAGAAAATGCTGCTCTGCTCTGCGTCCCCCTCGGGGTTTCGAATGAACGGGTTCTCACGGTTCTCAGCGCAGAGTCGCGGTTTCCCCTCCAACAGGACCACGAGAGCCTGCTTGCCAAGTGGCAGAACAAAAGCATGGACAACCTGATCGAGCTGCACAACAAGGCTCCGGTCTGGAACGATGACACCCAGTCCTACGTCCTCAACTTCCATGGCCGGGTCACTCAGGCGTCCGTGAAGAACTTTCAGATAGTCCACGAGAATGACCGTGAGCGCCCGGGAAGGGGCGGCTGGGAGAGGAGGAAGGTGGCCCTCCCAGATGGGAAAGCAAGCGTTTCCTGTGAGAGATAGGAAAGCTGTGTTCAGGGCTCGGCAGGTGGCATGGTGGTTAAGGGCGCTGGACTCCCACGTGGCCGACCGCAGTTGGAGTCCCGGACCCGGTGGCTTGGTTTCTCTCTCTCTTTCTCTCTTTCACTCTGTCCTTCTCTTGTCAAATTACAATAAATTAATTAAATAAGTAAAGTTCAATAAAAATAATTAGTTTTTTTTTAAATAAAAAGGAAAGCTGGGGGGACCAGCAGTTGGTGTAATGGCTATGTCACTGAACTCCCTTGTAGTCAACCGCGGTTCGAATCCTGGACCCAGTTGCTTAAACTCACACCGGGCGTGCGTGTGTGTGTGTGTGCCCAAGATCCCAAGAGGAGAATGGAGGAGAAGGGATTG